TTGCGTTTGTAATTTGTTATTTTGTTTTCAGAATTGTGATTTGTTTTGCACTTCTCGGACACCGTAATTTCGGCCTAGAAAATCGCAACTTTTCATTTTCCGTCGGTCTTAGTACACGATGTAACTACAGAAGAGTCAAGTTGTAAATAGGAAAAATATCGAAACTGTTTGGTCATTTTTGAGCGAGATGCTAACGGTCTAATCAGATTCAATGATCTATGCTAAGCTCCAGCTAAAAGTGCTACCGCCAGACCTGGAGATCGGCTGAATGGATTCGCAAGCGGTAAAACTCAACTGTTTAACTCCAGGGGAGTTGGAAAATGAGCCTATTTTCAAAAATAGTGGCGTGTTCCTTTAACATATGCTGTATCAAATAATTGTGCATGTAAAATGCTCATAATCACGTTTATACTTATGCGATACAGGAAACCCAACTTCTCCCTCCTCTCCACCCCTCTTCTTATTCAATGGAACAGGCTGTTGAAATTGTGCGGTCTCGGAACGGCAGCGCCATTCTCCCAGCAGAGGGGAGGCCGCAGTCAGGAGGAAGCAGCAGAGGGGGCAGCAGAGGGCATCATTCGCCCTTAGTATCCATGTACCCGACTCTTACGGATGAGGAAGAGGAAGATTCTGTGAGCCCTACGGATTCAGGAGTCCACAGAGGTTTAATGGAGCCTGATGGATTTGAGAACGGCGGCAGCGAGACGGCGAGTTCTCAGATATCTGAGGCGCTATCCAGTCATTTTGAGCGCACTAACGGCACGCTATGGCCCAAGTCAAAACCCAATAACATCCTGCTCCCGGCCAACACAACCCTTTTCCTTCCGCCGCATAGCCCAACTATCCACAAAGCTCAAATCGTTTAGAGTGTTTGTATGGAAACGTCCATATAAACACAGTTGATATTACAACCGAAGGATGTGTTCCTCTGTAATTTCACTCGACCCAAAAATGCTGTGTCTGGACAACCAACCCAAAAATGGATCTTTTGTATGAATTTTTATATGACTACATTCTCAAGGTGGCAAAAACATGGACCGAATGACTATCAGGCCATAATGTAAACTCAAACCTGAAAAACAATACCAGCATTACTTAAACAGTCCCTCAAATAATTGTGTAATCCGGAACTGTGACTTTTTGACCTTGATGTCTGTAATCCAGAGATGTAAAAATGGTGTTTCGATATATATATATTTTTAATATATGTGTGTATTATGTATTTTGACAGGAAACTACCCACTGCATGAATAGTATTATGAAGTATTGCATTACCTTGTTTTGAAAATGGCTCCTGCATGTTCACCGAATGTCACTGTAGGAGTGACACTGTCATTGTTTACAGCATTTATACTTCATTATGTACTAGTGCTTTAAATGTATTTAGTTTTAATAAGTGGGCAGTGTTACCGCAAGCTCCTGAGATACTCTTGTGAACTTTCTATCTAACAAAATATAAAGCCATGGGTCCTGATGGTAACTTTGGCGTATTCAATTCACTGCAGTGTATGGGGGTTATTAAATCAACCCTAATTATACTGCATGTATCTATGTTAGATGAATTTCAGAAAACACAATGTTAAATCAGGACATTATTGTTCGGTGCTTTTCAGCCTAAATTTAAAGGTGTGATGAGAAAAAAAATGTACCATATCAGCCATAATTAACACCAAAATGCTACAATAAAACTGGGGGTACTGTGATATTAGCCACCACTGTCAAAAAGAAAAAAGAATGAATGAATGGAAAATTATAATAATTTATTATGTTTCACAATATTAACCATAAGTTCAATAACAACTTTATTAACGATGGTATTTTGGTGTAAGCTATTACCTTGGTACATTTTTGTAAACTGTCCCCCACCGTGCTTGGCTGCTGGTGCAGGAAATGCATTTAAAGGGGTCATATGATGCTGCTAAAAAGAACATTATTTTGTGTATTTGGTGTAATAAAATGTGTTTATGCGGTTTAAAGTAAAAAAAACACATTATTTTCCACATACTGTACATTATTGTTTCTCCTCTATGCTCCGCCTTTCTGAAACGCGTCGATTTTTACAAAGCTCTATGTGGGGGCGTGTTAGAACGAGGCGTTTTAGGTAGGCGTGGCTGAATCTGAACTTTTATAAAGAATATCTCTTTGGATTTGAGACTTTAGTCTTTGCAACTTTACAGATCTTCTTTATGCACCAAGAGCTTGTAACACTCCAAAGAGAAAGGAAAAATTTAAATCGCATCATATGACCCCTTTAAGAATCATTTTAGGAACGTTTGGTTTGACTTTTATTTTGAATTTCAACCTGCCTTTCAGTCCTTTTTACGCCAGTCATTCTGCATAGAACTGCCTTGCAATTAAAGTAGCCTACTCAAATGTACTAAAACGGTCTCTAAACGGGTAAGAAAATGAAAGAAATGATACCTTGGAAATTATTTGTTTTGTATTAAAATACCTTTTTGTTAGCAGGTTCCCTCACAAAAAGAAAAAAAATGTTTTTATTAAATGTAAATAGTGTTTTAAATTAGTATCTTTTGCAAGTGGACTGTAGTCTAGTACTCTAGTCTGGTACATTTTAATAATACAATTTTAAATAGTCACAAAGCGCTCAGAACGGGACTTTTATTTCGTCAACAAGGCGTATCGCCGTCCATTTTGATGACTGCTCACCGTGGCGAGCTTCACATATCGCTGCTTTTAATTCTAGGCACATTCGCTGAGAAATTTACCAGCCATCATCTTTTCTCCTTCAGCGGGGTCGACGCTCTTCCCGATTTATTTTACCTTCTTTAACTGTACAGTTTTGTACAAAAGCTTCGTATGTCTTTTGAAAATATACAATTGTGCATTTGTTTTCCCTGATGATATGGATTAATTTGTCGATGCCTGCAGAAATTGCCTGGATATAATTGTTCCACCTGACCATGCAGAAAATCCCGGGGATAACGACACACTGCAAGGATTAGTGTAGTTTATAAAGATCACTGGATTTTTTGTATATAGATCATATTTTTTATACCGGAATCGCTTTGTTACTCTTAGCAGGTTTTTCTAAGAAAAGGAACAGGGAAGAAAGGAAAGAAGAAGGAAACCCTCAAGCAGAGGTACAGTGGACTGAATGAATGTAACCAGCTCATGTGACATTCATGTCATCGGCGCATTTTTGCGTTCCATTTAGAATGTTTCCGCATTTATGCGCTGACGGCCCTTGATTTAATTTAATTTGCCATAATTTTATTTAATTTGATTGTTTAACAACGCAATATATTATATCATATTATATTATATAGCGTTGTTAAATAGTTGTACAAAATTGTATAAATATTTACATTTTAAATGTGTGTATG